GCTGTTTTCTGTGTGGTCGTGGTATTACACCAGGCGAGCCGACCCATTCGTGCGAAGATGTCAAAGCGGGCTCTACCACTGTATTTTTGTATTTATTGAAATAACTCAAAAACTAACAGGCCGATTTCAAAAATTCTTACACCATTAAAAAGCTACGTTATCAAAAAGTAACACAGGCTATTTTTTAATTATTTAAAAATTTCACGCGGGCAAAGTCGCGCGAAAAACATAAAACTCGTAAGTACAACTTAGTAGCTTATTACAACGGAAAATAGATATTAAATATCTACATTTACGTTATGTACTCGTAATAAATCGGAGATGTCTCATAAAAGCCGACTCTTTGTCCAATAAATAGACTAGCTAAGTTTTATAGCACCTAATAAATCGGAAACGGTAATAATCTGAGAAAGCTTCTGAAGAACACATATATATGTAGTACAAATAGATCTTACTAATATTATAAACTAGCTTTCGCTTCCAACTCCGTTCGCGTGGTTTAAAAAGGAAGTAACCTATGTCTTCTACCAGACTAGCCTATATGCCACATCCGTTTAGCGTTTTAGGTTACAAACTCTAAGAAACATCCATCCATCTATTCTTTTTCACTTATAATACTAGTATAGAGCGTCGGTGGCTCAGTGGTCTGAACACTTGACTTATAATCTACAGGTCTTGGGTTCGAATCCCGCCGTGTACCAATGTGATTTTCGATTTTTCGAATTTTCATATGTACATAATTTACCCGACGTTCTTACGGTGAAGGAAAACATCGTGATGCAATCTGCATTTATCGGCGAAGATATTCAAAGATATGTGTGAAGTCGACCAACCCGCACTGGGCCAGCGTGGTTGACTATGGCCTAGTCACCGTATTAGGGTAGGCTCCGAGCCCCTCGGTGGGGACGTATAGTGAGCTGGTGATGAAGATGATGACTAGTATGATGCTAAAGTTTAATAGAGTTTGTAGCTTAAACTATGAAGGGATCTCGATGAAATTTAGCATAGATTAAGAGGATAGTCTAGAAGAACAAATAGGCTACTCTGTTTTGTTTTTTTTAATTCTATGACAACGAATTGCAGAGGAAAGCTAGTCAAGATACAAATGTTATGATTTATTAAAGGTTGGTTTCCATTGCGCGTGGATTTCAAAAAGAACGTAGACCAATTTGAACAATTCACGGTGGAAAGT